CCGTAAAAAAAAAATAAAAAACCCCAGCCCGGCCAAAAAAACGCTGTTGAAGGAAAAAGAGGACAAACACTGTAGCAGATCTCGGTTGAATCATGTCGTGAAAACGCTGTGCTCTGAAGTGTGAGGGGAAAGTTAGTGTTATTTTCCCCACCCAAAGATAAAGCTGTGAAGAATCAGTGGTTGAAATTAATTTTTGCAAAAATACCTTAGCATTATAGCTCAAGCCTTGTACTGCGTTCCCCTCATTTTTCTGACGGGTGCTTCAGCAATCTACATGCTTACAATGGGGAATTTGCCGACCATTTGTTAAAAGAAGGATTAGAAAAGACTATTGATGTATGGGACTTTTTCAAAGCTTGACAGGAACATTACAGTACACAGTTCATGTATCAGTTCCTTCCACCATTTCACAAGTGTAAGTAAGTGCAGTTAAAATGGTTGCCTCTTTGTTTTTTCTAGCTTGCAAATTATGTTAAAAAAATAAAAATAAAAATCAGCATCAGCCAATGAAATTCAGTCAGCAACAGGCCACTGTCTAGCTGGTGTATTTGCATTCAGCGATCTGATTGACTGACGCTTCCGTTGGTGCTTGAAAAGTTTAGCTAGTCCCAACTTCTGCAGAGAGCAACGCCTCTGAAGCGGTGCTGATGGAACCCCAATGCAGTTCAGCATCGCTTGACGTCACCCATTCAAAGTGAATTGGAAGCGTTGACGCTAACTCTTTATATTCTCATATTGTGTCTTAAACCACTTTAAAACGTGATGCGTGACGCTTTGTTTACGTATTTAAATGCGTTAGTGAGCTTGCGACCCTCTGCCATTTGGCATTGCTATGGCCACAGTCAGCTGTACCTAAACGCATGCAGCGGTCAGGTTTCAAAATAGTTCAGCGTTTACCACTGTGTGAATTAATACTGAATGTGTGTCATGGTTAAGAATAGAGAAATATGCTGGTGTTAAACTGCATTGCTTTAATGCACTTCTGCATTGGGCTCACACATACACTCTGCACTCTGACTACTTCAGCTTTGTTGATGAGCCATGGTGGGTGTTTCTCTCTGTCTCATGCTGAACGCAGTCGACCAATCGCAACAGTCTGGGTCATCAGACCAGTCAGCGCAGATTGGCGCTGGCTAAGGTGGGGTTTGGGAACAAATGAATCACTGAACGAATCATATGGGAGTTGTATTTTAAGACGATGCATATTATAAGACAATGAAAGCGTTTTTTAACCTTGCATGTATATCAGCCTGTTGTTGGAGTCCCACAAAACCTTTTTTAATACATAATAGAGACTCTTTAATTACCTCCAGATTTGTCAAGAGCATCTGTACTCCATGTCTCAAGCCTTCAAAAGCCACCACGCCTTCATTGATTGTCAGCATTGTTTTCTGAAGCGCAAGTAATTTATTAAACGAGAAAGGATTCACACAGCTTCTCCTACTGCAGTAAATTCCATTCTTACCTTTGATATTTGACCCCAGTTATTCAGGAACTGATAGTTTTGTTCACTTTGACTCGTTGGATGTAACCTCTGCTTTATTCACACATCTTTTCTGCGATATTCCAGTTTTGCGCATAAAGTTAATTTGCATTTTTGGATGGAAAAATAGCTAGTGACAATCCCTAAAACTACTGTAATATTTAGAATTAATTAAAAGATTTGCTTTTGAAGAAATACTGATTATTTCCAGTGGGAGTTAAAAGCATCTGGTTGATTCTTGTTTAGTTTACTGGTAAATATTGCCATTCTCTGATATATAAACAGCATTAATGTCATAAATTGAGCGTTTGTGCTTAAATGCAGAGTTCACATGTATAATTGCATGTTCAGAGCTAGATTTTATGTGGAACAGTGTTTCCTAAACAAAATAATAAAATCATGTACATTGCGCAGGAGCATTTACACTCTGTTTTCAAAAATAATGTAAAATCCTTTCATGTTCTATAATTAAATGGACAGACGTCTTGTGAAGGTAATTACTTGTTCTAATTGAATTTAATTGTAATTAAGGAGTTATTTTATGACAGTCACACTGGACTGGCAGATTTCCAGGAATCAATAAGGGTTATGAAGAGAGAGCCATCTGCCAACCTCAAGGAATATCTGTAAAATTGAGGTTTTAGCATTTGTTATTTTTAGAATATAAGACTTGTTTCTAATAAAGTCAGGAAGAAACTGAAGAAATGGCAGATCTTTTCTCCCATTATATTGCAGCCCAGTGTAACGGATTATCAGAAAATGAAAAAAATGTAACACAGGGCGGAAGTTCTAAGGGTTTTCACTTCATGCTGACATTAAAGGAAAGGTTTGTATTTCTTTCATTCATTTATTCATTTTCTTTTCGGCTTAGTCCTTTTATTAATCTGGGGTCGCCACAGCGCACACAATGCCCTTCCAGCCGCAACCCATCACTGGGAAACATCCATACACACTCAATCACACACATACACTAGGGCCAATTTATCTTACCCAATTCACCTATACCACATGTCTTTGGACTTTTGGGGGAAACCAGAGGACCCGGAGGAAATCCAGGCGGACATCGGGAGAACATGCAAACTCTACACAGAAATGCCAAATGACCCAGCCAAGGCTTAAACCGGCAACCTACATCCTGTGAGATGAACGTGCTACCCACTGCGCCAGTTGAACATTAAATGTTTCTAGCATAAACTATGGTTCTTGGCAATTCATTAAGTGCAAGTCAATGGCTGCCGCCCCTTAAGAGTCAAAACAGCATATAAAGGAAAAACTGAATTAAAACCTGTGGGTCCGGATAATACATTGAGGTTTTATGAAGCATAATGCTTTGTCTGTGCAAGAAACTGAACATCATTTGCAACATTATTATCTTGATTCTACAAATTGTACTGTGCGCGTTCATGACAGCCTGAAGTAAAAGCTTCCCATAATGACATCGAATATGCATGTTTGCAAACTAACACATGTTTGTTTTTAGCACAGAGAGGGAGAACACATGTACATTATATCTGTGTATTGTACATTAGAAAAGTATTTTATTTATTTATTTATTTATTTATTTATTTATTTATTTATTTAAGGGGAAGTCCACTTCCAGAACACCAATTTACAAATAATTTCTTCACCCCTTTGTCATCCAAGATGTTCATGTGTTTCTGCCTTATATTTTTTTTTTCACATTTTAGACCATAAATGTGCTCCCTATTTCAACTTTTTAAAAATGCAGTTTATGCTGTTTTAAATGGCTTTAAATGAACCCAGTCAATGAAATGTTTCTTTTCTAGGAAAGTAATCTGTCATTTTTTTGGAAATACTGTTTTGGACAGTTGAAGAAGTTTGTGTAGCACTAGCATTGTCTGTAGTTCTGCCTACATCATGCATGACCTTTCGATGTGGTTGTATTGTACGTAGCATGGTGAAAATAAATTTTTGAAGCTCGAAATAAGGACACAAGTAAAAATCCTGATAAGTTTTCAGCTGAAGACTGAAGACAGAAAGAAATGGACAACATTTGAAGGAAATTATTTGTAAATTATTGTTCTAGATGTGGACTTCTCCTTTAAAGGGAAAGTCACCAAAAATGAAAATTGACTTGTTCCTAAACTTTCTGCGTTGCTATATTCTGTTGAATACGAAAGAGGATATTATTGTGTGTGTGTGTGTGTGTTCGTGTGTGTGTGTGTGTGTGTGTGTGTGTGTGTGTGTGTGTGTGTTTGTGTTCAACTAAACACAGAAAGTCAAACAGGTTTGGAACAAGTTAAGGATGAGTAAATATAAATTTTCAGTTTTGGGTGAACTATCCATTTATCCTGCTGAATTTAAAATGATCTTGCAGTACATGTATACAATTTTCATATTCAGTTATTAACGGTTATTCTTATTCACAATTTTGCTGCTAAGCAATACGGCTGCACAAAACAGTATATTGTTTCAGCATCAATATTGCACTGTGATCATAAACAATAATCAAATCAGCATATGCAATATTGATTTTGTATTATAACTTATCACTTGCATGTGTTTTTGAGGCTTGTGATTGTAAAAGCATGCAAAAATTGTGTTGTTTGTAACTGTATAACAAATTTGATTATTTATTTTTTATTATTCAATTACTGTTTCTGAATTAGGCATAGGCCTATATCCATACATATACATACAGTTGAAGTCAGAATTATTCGCCCCCCTTAGAATTTTTAAAAATCTTTTTTAAGCATTTCTTCTTTTGGCTAGAATAAAAGCAGTTTTAATTTTTTGAACACCAATTTAGGGTCAATAATATTAGCCCCTTTAAGCTATATATTTTTTCAATAGTCTACAGAACAAACCATCATTATACAATAACTTGCCTAATTACCCTAACCTGCCTAGTTAACCTAATTCATCTAGTTAAGTCTTTAAATTTCACTTTAAGCTGTATCGAAGTGTCTTAAAGAATATCTAGTCAAATATTATTTACTGTCATCATGGCAAAGATAAAATAAATCAGTTATTAGAAATGCGTTATTATTACTATTATGTTTAGAAATGTATTTTAAAAATATGCTCTCCATTGAACAGAAATTGGGGAAAAAATAAACAGGTGGGTGTATAATAATGTGGGGTAATAATTCTGACTTCAACTGTATATATAGCAGAATAACAAAATGATTGATTTTTTTCAGTATCGTGCAACCAAGAACTTCAGTGTTTACTCATGTTAAACACTTATTTAGTGACCTCTCTGTTTCAGTGCTTAAAAAACCTTTGAACAAAATTGTATTTTGTGTTTATGATCCTACATTAGTCTTTCTCTGGTGTGTATGTAATTTTAATGTTTGCTGAGTTTATCCATTTGTGTTTGTTAGGCTGTGTGCCTCACAGTTTTTAAGTTCTTTAATGTAATACTACTCTTGTTGCCTTTTACATTCAAGATCCATTTGATTGCCCTTTGAGTGTTTTATTAATGTTTTTTTATGTGTGTGTTTGTGTGTGTGTGTATGTGTGTGTGTGTGTGTGTGTGTGTGTGTCTCACTAGCTTTCGTAACCCTTCTAAATGGTGACCAAGCACAGGATGCCATCCGAACTCTGCACCAGACATCAGTCCGAGGCCGTGACATCAACGTCCAGCTTCAGCCCACAGACTCTCTCCTGTGTGTCACCAATCTGCCCTACACTGTCACTGCCACTCAGTTTCAGGAACTGGTGCGATCCTACGGCAACATCGAACGCTGTTTCCTGGTGTACAGTGACCTAACAGGCCACTCCAAAGGCTACGGGTTTGTGGAGTACATGAAGAAGGACTCAGCTTCCAGAGCACGGTCTGAACTCTTGGGCAAGCCAATGGGCGACCGTGTTTTAATGGTGCAGTGGGCTGACGTCAACCAGCTGACCTCTGCTGACCACCTCCACTCCAAGTGCCTATGCGTGGATCGACTGCCATTGGACTTTGAGGACTCGGAGGAGCTGGCTCACATTTTTTCAGAGAGCTACAAACCCGTCTTCTGCCAGGTGAGATGTGGAGAAATGTTGACGAGGTGTTAGTATTTTAGGCATTTCATCTCTGCCAACTTGGCTGGAAGAGAGTTACTTAATACAGGGGTTCCCAAAATGTTCAGCCTGCGACCCTCAAAATAACAATGCCGGTGACTTGTGACCCCCACATTTCTTGGAGGTTGCTATAATAATATAATGACACCACAAAGTGCAACAGTCTAACAATCATATAATATTTATAGTCATTTATTACATTCTTTAATTTTATATTAACCTCACCTAAAGGAACTGGTGGGCACAACGTATTCAGCACAAGTCTATTCTTGGTTTATTTTAGGAGACTGCCACTAAGAGATCATTCTCAATGTTCAGTAGTGGCCTCTATTTATTTTTAATGTATTTGATTGCCATAAAGGTGTCAGAAAGCATAACCTGGTTCTATAAAATCAATCTTCTGCGTCTGTCACTATTGGTGTGTTGTCAGTCTAATGAAAGGCTGATGGCTTTTCATTTGCATGTTGTTGCTTTTTTATGTAACTATTAACTACTAACTATTAACTACTAACTGTAATATTTTAATAACATTTATTTGACTTTTGGAGTTCACCAACGGACCCCCTGTTATTGTCCTGTGACACCCCAGGGGGTCCTGATCCCCACTTTGGGAACCACTGACTGGCAAGGAAGATTTTATATTATATATATTTAAAATATATTTTATATATAAATATATATATATATATTATTATTATTATTATTATTATTATTATTATTATTATTTAATCAGGGATTTCTGGAATATCATAGAAATTGAAATGTGTAATCCAGACAGTGAAAGTCGGGGAATTGTTTTCAGGTCATGCCTTAAGTCATAAACTTAAGAGCACAGTGAATGGGAGAGTATAACAAATATTTTTTTTGCATTCCTAATTGCTCAAATAGTAAAAAAAAAAAATCAATGATAGTGTTATTTTCAGAGAAAAAAAATTGTGTTAGACTGACAACTGCAACCTGAAGAGTGGACAGCATCAAATTTACTGTCCTGTCCATAAATGCTGCATTAGAAACACCACTTGTTTTTGTAATTTGATGCTAAGATGATATAATGCAAAGTATAGCTTTATAAATGTAAAAAAATAAATAAATAAATAAAGTCTATAAAGTGTTAAACACGTCATCACACTTTTGTGAAAAAAGTCTATTCATCAAAATTACATATTTCTATTACATGTTTTTTATTGGCAATGAGGTGGAGCAGTAGGTATGCGCAGTAGGTATATGGACATGCGCTATGGGTGAATTGGGTAGGTTAAATTGTCCGTAGTGTATGAGGGTGAATGAGTGTGCATGTATGTTTCCCAGAGATGGGTTGCAGCTGGAAGGGCATTCGCTGCGTAAAACATATGCTGGATATGTTGGCGGCTCATTCTGCTGTGGCGACCCCAGATTAATAATGGAACTAAGCCAAAAATGAATGAATGAATGAATGTTTTTTTTTTATTTTTTATTTTATTATTGTGTTATAAATCTTTTATATTTTTATTTTATTAAGAATAGCCTATATTAGGTGACTGAATCAAAAATATAGCTAATTTGGTTGTGAATTAATTACTGTTAAGTTTTGACATTTTGGTCCCTTTATATTAAGTGGCCTTAATTACTAGGTACATGCATAAAAATAGATACAATCTACTTATTGTTGTCATTTAACAACATGTTATTGTGCTACAGAGGTGGGATATGGGTTTAAGGACAGGTAGGTGGTATGGATAGGTTGGGTTAAGATGTAAGAGATGGTCAACAGTGTAATTAAAGATGTAATTACATACATTATATACAATTACATACAGATCATGTTAAAAATATAAATACAATGTCAAAAATGATTATAAGTACATAGTAATTAAGACCACTTAATATAAATTGGGGCCCACTTTGTTTGCGTCTGCAATCAGTATTTAGTCACGTATTTAATGTCTTAGATCCATGTAAAATAAGCATTATTTAATGTATCAATCAATGTTGTGTTGATGTTATAAACTAATTGAGAAGATTAAAAACCCCCTTGAATTAAATAAGACAATTCAACAGAACTTCTAGTCCAGCATTGTTTTTAGCTTTGGGCTTTAGCACCTTGTTCTAAACCGATGTGAAGTGACAACATGTAATCAAAGATATATTTTACTTTTTGTCTGCTCAATGCTCATCACATAAACGTTGGGGAATTTGACACTAAGCTTAGAGTGGGTACCCTGTTAAATCAAACATATACAGTTGAAGTCAGAATAATTAGCCTCCCTTTGAATTTTATTTTTTCTAAATATTTCCCATATTATGTTTAACAGAGCAAGAAATTTTTCACAGCATGTCTAATAATATTTTTTTCTATAGAAAGTCTTATTTGTTTTATTTAGGATGGAATAAAAGCCGTTATTCATTTTTTAAACATCATTTTAAGGACAAAATTATCAGGCCCTTTAAGCTTATTTTTTTTCTGACAGTCTACAGAACAAATTATCGTTATACAATGACTTGCCTTATTACCCTAACCTGCCTAGTAAACCTAATTTAACCTAGTTAAGCCTTTAAATGTAACTTTAAGCTGTAAAGAAGTGTCATTAAAAAATCTAGTAAAATATTATACTGTCATCATGGCAAAGATAAAATAAATCAGTTATTAGAAAGGAGTTATTAAAACTATTATTTTTAGAAATGTGTTGAAAAAATCTTCTCTCGTAAACAGAAATTGTGGAAAAAAATAAACAGGGGGGCTAATAATTTGCATGGGTTATTAATTCTAACTTCAATTGTATATATACATTCTTCAGAGGTATTGTAGTCCAGTGAAATGCGATTGTTGCTGCTGCTTTTGGTATTAGGGGAAATTAAATCAAAAATGAAAAATTTGTCGTCATTTATTCACCCTCATGTTTGTTTCAAATCTTTTATGGCTTTCTTTATTCTGTGGAACACTAAAGAGGTTTAGCTCTTTCATATTGTACAGTGAAAGGGAACAGAAAGGGAGCTGTCAAACTCCAGAAAATGACTTAAAAAGACTATTAAAATTTGTGAGACACAAGAATTCAGTAACCACTGAAGTGCTTTTGATTCACTTAAAAGAATCAACTCATTTCAGTGCTTTGAATAAGTCTACACTTATTCTTTGTAAGTTTTTAGTTTGCTTAAAAGTACAGGACACAATATACTCAAAGCAAAGCTCTTCTTTTGTTTAGGGGTAAAAAGAATGTGAATGTTAGATTTGTCTTTTGACTGAGCTGTGCATTTTTGATTTGCTAAAAAGAAACAACTCCTCTGAAGATTGAGGATTCAATCCAACTACACTGTGCTGCTTTTTTGTGCTTTATTTAAAGACATTTGTTCGCTTGAAAAAATTGATTGTGCTGATTTCGCTAATAAGATTAATTCATTCTTAAATCCACCAACACTATTTTATCAGGTTCACCTGAATTAATGGCTCATAAAAGTCATTCCTGTATGTTTTTCAAAAAATCAAACGTAAGCAGTTAATAAATCCGAATGCATATTCAGTGCTTCCCACAGGTTTGAAATATACTTGTGCTGGTGGCAGAATTGAAACACACCTTTTACCCACAGCACATGGTTAAATACATGCTACAAAAAAAGGATTTTAGCAATATTTTTATTCATTATGACACTATTATACACCTTTTCTTTTTAATGGATTGAAGGTTTTTTGAAGACTTAAAAAAAAAAAAGAATGCCCTATTTCTTTTACTTTTATTCTATTCAGGAGCCATGTGCACTCGGTTAAAATCGGCAGCTGACATTTTGTACAGTATTGTCAACGCATGTTAGATATGTTTAAAATATGCAATACATCAACATCATCAAATAAAAAATATACACAGAAAATGAGAAATAAATGACATTAAGAAATAAAAACAGACAATATCTCTAAAAGTTTAATAAGAATAAGAATAAAAAGTAGATTATTTAAAGGCAAATGAGTTAATTAATTATTTCTAATGGTTTACAAATATTTTGCAGCCAGTTTAGATATAATTTTGTCCTTTCTATGTAGAGAAAAGTTGATCTGAGTTGTTTAGATTAAATAACTAATTATTTAAAGGTTCTCTAGCTCTTGCGGCTGCATGCGCTATCAGCTGTGAAGCCAAATGAAAGTACATCAGGTTTAAAATAATAATAATAATAATAGTAATAATAATAGTAGTAATACTAATAAAAATAGAAAAAAAAAAATTAAAGACGTCTTTAGAAACCCAAACCAAAAACCGAACCCCGGACATTTTAGGAGATTTAGAAACCCCATACGGACAAAAGTTCCAAAAAGGAGTGCTTCTGTAGGTCTCTGCAGAAAACATGAGATTGTCTCTCGAAATATTGTCAGTTTTTGGGTTTTTGGGCACACACAATGAGCAGTACGAAACGTGTAGGGCGAGAGAAGATTTTCCACTGATTAATCGATCACGAATGTTTGGCTATAGGGCAGATACAAAAAAGTCTGAAAGGATGATAATAGTAAAATAAAATGTCACCAAATATACTTGAGCTGTATATTATATATATATACATTTTTTTTTTACCTTATTTTTGTGTGCAGGCACAGCCAATTGAATATTTTAGGCTCAAGACTTCCGGTCTCATTCACTTCCATTTGGTTTTATTTGTAGACATTAAAAAAGCTCGTTATGCTGCTTGATGTTGCAAACTGATATTTTCTTATTATATCATTCTGCTTCGCCTGTATAGTCATGGACACACTTGTTTGTAGAGCAAGTAAATTTACTGTTTTTTGCCGTTTATTATTCCAAGTCATTTATCCTATAGGCAACTGAATCGGAAGTTCTAAAACAGTCACAAAATCGAGCGCACTTCCACATTGAAGAATAAGGTCAATAGGGACAAATACAAAGACTCAAAACATGAACATTACTTAAGCACCTCTTTTTTATTATGCTGGGTCATCCATATGATGCAGCAAACACAAAGCAAATACAGAAGTCAAACACATC